CCCGCCTATGGAATTTCGATAATATTTCATTAAGATGAAAAGAAAAATCTTCAAACATGCACAAATATACAGATTTTTTAGATATATGCAATATTTCATGAAATTGGATAAAATATGCAAAAAATGCATAGATATGCACTTTGCATATTTTCCGCCCTCTACTCATTACCAAAGACAGTCATCGACTTTCGGGCTTTGGAAATCGACAGTAAAGACTTCATTTGAAATTTTTTGTGAATTTATTTAGTTTCATTTAGCTGAGTGACAGAATTTTCCTAGAAAATGTATCTAATTTACGCGATTCAGCCGTTCTTGCACTGTCTTCTTCTATTGCTGCTTTCTCAATATCCAGACTCTCAATTGGCACAGATACTTTAGAAATCGGAAGTAACGACTTCAGGTCAGACATTTAGTGAATTTAGTTCCTTTCAGATGAATGGCTGAATTTTCATAAACCGGCGAAAATTCCTAATATTTGCACACTTTAGCCATAACACCCATGACATCGGCATAAGGCTTTACAAATCGATCGAAAGAACCTCACTTTCAACTTAGTGTTAATTTAGTTTCATTCAAGTATGTGACTGAATTTTTGATTATTCGACAAAGAATACTAAAATTTCCGCAATTTAGCTATGCTTTAACCTCCTTATTTTCTGCTCATTTCTCAATATTTAAAAGATAAAACGCAATAGAGGCTCTCGGTATCTATAGAAAAATCTACAGTTCAGGCCTGGGGTGAAATTAGTTCTCCTCAGTTAAGTGACTCAATTTTAATTAATTGGTGAAAATTCCTAATATTTGCTCGATTTCGCCATTCTAGCACTGTTATCCATTATTGCTCATTTCTCAATATTCAGAACAATCAGAAGTATTCGGGCTTTATAAATCGGTAAAAAAAATATTTGAGTCTTTTTGAGAATTTAGTGCTATGCAGTTAAGTAAGTGGATTTCCATTAATTGGCAAATATTTCTAAAATGTAAGCAATTTTACTATTCTTGTAGTTCTTTCATCTATTAAACAAACAAACAAACAAACTAAAGTTAACATCCTGTATAAGTAACATAAGAAAAACAAGTGGACTCTTTGGAAAGGTTTTTTATTAAAAATAAATAAAACACACAATAAGTAGACCATCAGCGATCACTAAAACAAGTGAGCATATAAAAATCCTTAAAACAAAAATAACAAACCGTCGACAGAATGGTTCAGTCTTAATTTCGAGCAGCATCAGGAATTCGATTAGTGAGGGAAAACGGTATACTGTTCACTACGCCGTTGGTTTTCTTCTGAACAGTTCCAAGCACCGAGTTTCCATACTTCACAGTATTGGAAACGGCCCCAAACAGTCCATTAATGAGTCGCTTCGACGTGGAACGAGCAGAATCGTCTTTCGGTACCGCACTCCTATCCACTAAATATTTCAACAGCACATCGTTGAAAATCTCCGGGTTTTCCTGCTGGGGAAAGTGGCCGCAATCCTCAATTACTTTGAGCCGGAAGAACTCGCAGAATTCCGTTGATTTGATGATTCCCTCCAATGAAACGAACTGGTCCTTACCTCCAGTCACCAAAATCACTGGAACTTCTATCTGGTCCAGATGCTCGCTGACTTTAAACAGCGTCAGGTTTCGGTAGTAATTAATCGGCCCTGTCCAGTCCTCTTTCCTGGAAAATGTGTACTTATACGCGTCCAAATGCACATCTTTAGCCGGCAGGTGCTTGTAGTATTCGTTGATGATCTTCACGTCCTCCTTAACAGCGTCCAGCTCAGGCAAATAAGGCAGTTGCACGTAGTTCAACCACTGGTAGTTGTACGTGGAGTTGAAAGTCATCCAGAAAACGTTCGGATGCGGACAGGAAACTGCTACGAACTTGCTGACCACACTTGGGTTCTTGTGCACCAAGTACCAGCCCAACAGAGCACCCAAATCATGCCCGATCACAATGCAACTTTTCACGCCAAGCGAATGGACGAATTGGGTGAGTTCGTTCAGGATAGTGTCGATTTTGTAGCTGCTTCTCCAGGCTGGCTTATCGGAGTCCCCGAAGCCCTTCAGGTCCAAAGCCACCACATGGAAGTTCACGGATAGGATGGGGATTTGGTAGCGCCAGCTCAGCCAAAAGTCTGGAAATCCATGCAGCAACAGGACGAGTGGCTGGTCTTTTGGTCCAGATTCCACGTAATGGAGTTTTGTTCCCTGGAAAAATAAACAAATCCTGAGTTTGATCGTTTAATGAGTAGGTGCTTATTTTGGTACGTTATTTTATGAGGTGTGCTTGCACCCTTTTTTTTATTGCTCATTCCGCAGCATATATTTGCACAACTTTGCCGGTCTGGTACTGCTGTCTTTTATTGCGTATTTTTCAATATCTGGAAAATATAATTATATGAGCATTTTAGAAATCTATGAGCGCAATTTTGGTTTGCTTTTACCCTGTGGCTTATTTTTTATTAAATTTCAAAAATTCCGAAGGTTTGCGCGTTTTTGGCATTTTTGCACTGTCTGCGATTCTTGCTTATTCCTCGACAACTGGGTCAGATATTGAGATTCCACCTTCCAGAAGCAGAAAAAAAGGTTTCAATGAAGCCATGTAGTGACTTTGGTTCCCTTGTACCGAGTGGTTTATTTTTTATTAATTTCAAAAATCATGAAAAAATATCTGGCTTAAATCTCAGTGTCAATTTGGTCCTGTGTGGCTAAATGAAGAATTTTTTATTAATTTAGCAAAATTTCGAATATTTTAAGATTTACTCATTTTTGCACTGTCTTTATTTATTGCTCATTCCTCAACATGGCGATCACGAATCAAGCTGCGACCTTCATCATTCCATAAAAAAAAAACATTACTTAAGGTATAATGATAAATTTGTTTTCTTCTAAGTGGCTTATTTTTTATAAATTTCACAATATTAAAAAGTTTGTGCCATTTGCTGATTCTGGCACAGTCTTAATTTGTCGCCCATTTCTCAACACTGACGGCAGACATCAGGATCTGGACTTCAAAAATCATAAAAAAATATCTGGCTTAAAACTCAGTGTCAATTTGGTCCTGTGTGACTAAATGGAGAAGTTTCTATTAATGTTGCAAAATTTCGCATATTTCAACATTTACTCATTTTTGCACTATCTTAAATTATTGCTTATTCCTCAACATGGGGATCATGAATCAAGCTGCGACCTACATTAATCGATAAAAAAAACATTACTTAAGATATAATGATAAATTTATTTTCTTCTACTAAGTGGCTTATTTTTATTAATTTCACAATATTGGAAAGTTTGTGCCATTTGTTGATTCTGGCACTGTCTTAACTTGTCGCCCATTTCTCAACACTGACGGTAGATATCGGGATCTGGACTTCAAAAATCATGAAAAAATATCTGGCTTAAAACTCAGTGTCAATTTGGTTCTGTGTGGCCAAATGGAGAAGTTTTTATAAATGTAGCAAAATTTCGCATATTTCAAGATTTACTCATTTTTTCACTGTCTTAAATTATTGCTTATTCCTCAACATGGGGATCATGAATCAAGTTGCGACCTTCATGAATTCATAAAAAAGACTTCACTTAAGAGATGGTGTTAAATTCGTTTCTTTCACTAAGTCGTTAATTTTTTTATGATTTTAGGAAACTTTTGCAGACTTGCCCAATTTGCTCATTGTGGCACTCTTCATTTCATGCTTCTTCCTCAACATGGCGATCACAAATCAAAAATCAACCTGCGATCTTGGACAATCCACAAAAAAGACTTCACTTAAGAGATGGTGTTAAATTCGTTACTTTCACTGAGTCGTTAATTTTTTTATGATATTTTTGAAGATTTGCCCGATTTGCTCACTGTGACACTGTCTTCATTTATAGCCAATTTCTCAACATACAGGTCAGACATAGGGATGTGAGCTACAAAACACATTAAACAAGATCTCTCTTAAGACGCAGGGTCAATTTGGTTTCATTTTAGCGAATGGATTATTTTTGTTCCTATAACAAATCCCCGAAAATTTACACGATTTGACCATTTTTTACTGTCTTGAACTGTTGCTTATTCCTCAACAATCCTGTCAGATATCGAGAGGAAACTTCAGTAGTCCATAATATAGGCCTCAATTAAGATATGATTTGAATTTCCTTCCCACTAAATGAAAGAAGTTCACTTTTTATTCATTTGGCAAAATTTCGAAAATTTGTGCGATTTAGCCATTTTGACGCTTCAGATATCGCTCCTCCAAGAGAGATGGCATCTTTAGACCACATTTACGGATTTTTGGCTAAATTTGACTAAATTCAGATAAGGACTTCTTATTTTTCTTATTTCGGGAAGCTCTTCCTTCTATGGCTGATTTCTCAATATCCAGGACAGGCATTAGAATGCGAGCATCAACTACCGAGAAAAGAAGCTAGACGGATTTTTTTTCAGTTTGCTTACGTTTCCAAAGTTAATAAAACGTGCGTTCCTAGGTGGATATGAAGAAAGGAAGCAACAATGACACAGTGCGACTAGTTTGAATGAAGTTCTCTGCAAAGCCCACCTTAAGCAGCTTAAGAAAATGCATTATTCACAATAAAACTAAAACTCGCTAAAAATGCTCATGCTACTCTCACTGAATGTATGCATGGTTTCTGGTCTTAGGCCGCATATTTCCAGCAAACAATTCTTAAAAATGGACTAATCAAATCTTCCCTAATAAACGTACAAAAAACCACCCACCTTCAGTTTAACATGTTTGTGCTGGCCCATGGAAGAATCCACCAAGAAGGAGGGCGGAGTGTCCCGCAACACCATCGAAGACCCACGCGGATCCCAAACCCATTTCAGCAGTCTCTTGCACAACACCCAACCACCGAATACGAAAGACAAAAAGTGAATTCGTAACTGTGCAAACAACGAGATGGATTGAATGCACGTTACCGTTTTGGCCATTGCAAGATGGGTTTTCTCACTGACCAACTATCTAGCTATTAAAAAATTATCGTGCAGGATGGTATAAAGATCGAAGGTCATCATGCGAGGTAAACATCGAACCACACATGTGATGTGGGTACTGGGAGACTGAATTTGGTACCGATCGAATCGACTTTGACGATTGATAAGGCGCGCGATAAGGAAAAGGTTGAATCCGGGCGTCCGGGGTTACACATCGTCTGATTCTCCGCTGTTCAATCGGGAAAATGCGGAGCAATATCAAGATGCAGGGCTAATGAAACAAAGAACAAACATTCCAAGCAATTGAAAGCATGGCTTTATTTTCTAGCTAATTAATCCTATCTCTTATTATGCGACCTTTTCCTTTAGATTTGCCCTTGCCCTTCTTCTGCTTCCTTTTCTTGCGTTCCGCAATTTCCTTGATTTCCAAGATTTGGTCCATGCTCTTCATGTCCGAGAAGCGCTTCTTCAGCTTTTCCTTCTCGTTGTGTTTCGCCCAGTGCGTGTGGCGTCTCGGCCCATTAGCATCTGCAAACCCAACCAGTTAAATGACTTTCAATTGTATTGAGACAACGTTTTACCTTGCGGAGCGCTGCCCTCATCGCCATAATCATCATCATTAGCTCCAGTTTTGGTTTTCTCTTTCCATTGCGCGTATCTGTCGCTCTTGTAAGTGGACGGAAACCAAGCGCCGCTTTCCGTTTTGATTTTACCTTTTCTCGGGTTCTACAGCAAAAACCAGAAATATTTCCACGGGCTGGACAGAAAGGGAACTTCCTCTACCCCGACTATCTTCTTCTTGCGGTCCCACTTTTTCTTCATGTGGCTCGAGTTCATGGCTTCCTCTGAGTCGCCGGTCAAGTCCAACTGCACCTTCTTGCCAAAATGCCACAGTTTCGCGGTTTGAACTTCAGGACTTTGTTGAAGCTTACCCCTGCTCGGTATGATGGTCCTTGGAATGTAATGGTCCTAATAGATGTAGACTTCGTCTGCTGTTTGGGCCTTTTGGCTTTCTTGTACAGCTGTATCATTTTGCGCTTCTTCGGCACGATTACGCTTTTGAATGTGCCTTCGATGTCCTCTTTGGAACTCTCTAAAGGCCCCAAAGGTGCAGAAACTATCGAAGTTTAAACCATCTTGCTTACCTGTTAGAGACGTTACTGGTTCGTGGAAGCTTTCGCTTTCGTCCGGGTTGGTCTCATGCCGCTGCCTATACAATTCGATGTTGTGCTTATCGGCCAACCTTTTCTTTTTTATCATCAGATATTCCGGCGATTTGTTTTTGCCGCATATTTCAAAAATTGTCTAAAACGTAGAAGAGAATTACTGGATTGAACTTTTTTTTTAAATTTAACTTTACCCCGTTGAGGCGATAGTTTCTTATTTGATCCAACAAAAGGTATCGATGATATTCATCGCCGTTCGCTCTGAATACTGGATGAACAGCACAATTGTTCAGATTCAACTGTTTAATGCGGCGATGGTTGTCGGATGAAGCCGCACGCCTCGATTTTACGTACTTCTTATACGCGTTCTCTATCGTCGTTTGCACCGACGTCTGCAAAATTACAAACGCGTAAATTAAGAAATTTTCAAGACCGTAAAAAACCCACCAAATTCAGCTGATTTTCATGCAACACTAACAAAGAGCTCATATGTGCGTCCACCAGATCCTGCGGGATTCTGCCAATAGTCCCTTCTTTCTTCTTCAGAGTTGCTATGAACAGCGGGCGCCCCAAAAACAGATGCAAATCCACCATATAAGCCTGTTCGTCTGAGGCTATGAGGGAATAGGCCATTCCCGATCTTCCATCTCTAGCGCATCTTCCTACGAAGATTTAAAGGGGAATAATCAGTAAAAAAAACGGGGCGCTGGATACGCACCGACTCTGTGGACAAACAGCTTGGGTTTAGCCTTTTCCAGTTCCGAATTTCGAATTCGAAGGATCCAAGTTGGACTAAATGTAGGTGTTGGTGATTCCTACTAGATCCAGAACCTGAAAAAAATCCAGTAGATAGTCCATAAATTATGATCTCAAGCAGCCCAAAGCGGTCTTACCAAATGGATGTACTCAATGTGGTACTTTATGGTCGCAAAAATCACGGTCTGCTGCTTGGAATCGATGACGGTTTGAAGCAAAACCGGTAAAGCGGTCAGTTTTTCCTCCGGCCGCACTATGAAAAACTCCAGTTTTAGTTCATCTGGAAGCTCGGATTCAACATCCAACCTGAAAGGTCGCTTTTAAACCCCAGCAAACGCCGCTTAATTAACACATTAGTACCTTAATAAAACCGGATCACTCAGTCCAGCCTTAGCAAACTCCACCAGCACTTTGGGCAAAGTAGCGGAAAACAGCAAAGTCTGTCTAGAATCGGGCAAACGACTTACTACTTCTGTAAGTTGCTCAGTGAGCCCGATTTCAAACAGCCTGTCTGCCTCATCAAACACTACATACTCTATGTTATTGAGCTTCAGATCCACCTCCATGCAAACGTGAAGAAACCGGCCTGAAAGTGGGATTTTTAGCTTAAAATGAAACAAAACTGTTTGTTGGTTTACCGGGCGTTGCCACTATAGCATCGGGATTTCCATGAATGGCGTCAAACTGGTCTTCCATTGAATCTCCTCCAAGAATAACCGCCGCTTTAAGGTTCATGAAACGGCCGATTTCTTTGTAGAAGTTCAGAGACTATAAGGAAAAATTTGATTTAACGTGCTGAATAATTCGTCGAAAATACCTCTATTTCTTTAAAAAGTAGGAATTTCACTTGAAGCCAGACAAGATAGAAATGTGTCGAAATGAAGGTATTTTTGTCTTAGTTTTTCTCCTATCTTTTCAATGGTTAGGAATTCCCGATAAACTACATTCAGTAAAAGTGCCTCTTGCGAAAAGGTCCCTATGATAAACGCGGTAATTTCAGTCATTCCTTATAAGTATAATTGGCAGCAATAAAAATCGTCACGTTTGGGGGCTCAATCAAAGGCGATTTAAACGCCATTAACAGACTCCTGGTTCGATCCAAACTACATCAACGCCAAGTTTCAGCTCGATATCGTGAAAACGCGGCGAGAAACTCATACGGACTGCGAAACATGTTTTTTCCATCAGCAAAATATTTACATTTTCATAGAAACCAGCATGCATTTAAACCCCAATTCAAAGGAAGCATCCTATATACAACATAGATTTTATGGGGATTGTTTTAAGGCGCTCAAAAAGCGAAATGAACCTGCAGGGCTAATTCCTGCCTTTGAACATGAGAACGAGAAAAGTTGCTGTTTTCCCGGTCCCGGTCCTGCTCATGACATCAACATCCCTGCCTTTAAGAATTAGTGGAATCGTCCATAGATAAAGACAATGTATCCATTTTGTAACATTCTGGTGCTTGCAGTTATAAAATGGGTACATTTAAGCCATCCGGGGTGTCAGCTTGGGCTTTCAACTACCTACCAAATTTGGGTAAAACCGTTTTGTAAAAGCCTACAAAGCTGATAAAAATATGACTACTATTCTTAAAATAATTTTATGAGAAACTCAGATGGTACAGCATTACACTTCATATTTGTGCGATTATTTACAATGACAAACTTGCACTCTTCGGTAAAATGTACAGCGCATACCCTAAACTTGTGTCGCTGATGTCTGTCGTTCACATCAATTAAAGCATTTCTATTAAGTATCTGGCACCCCTTTTGTCTTATCTGCAAAACAAAAGTTTGAGAGCAAAAGGTGCATGTTTCAAACAAATAGTTAACACTAATCCACATGCGTTAATATTCAGTCAAAAAGCATCAGTTATGTTGTACAACTTATCACAAAACAAACCCCATAGGGGGGATATTTTGTGCAACTTATTAATATGTAAACACAGCTTACCTTAGACTCCAGACAAACAATGCGTTTTCACTTTTTTAGAAGTTTTCTCACAACCGGCCATAGATAAAGGCAAGGCCATCGCCAACGGAACACTAAAACGGCATTTTGCAACAAAATAATGTTAGAAATAAGTCAGAATGAAACACGTGCATCAAAACAACTTTATGTTTTGTTGATATTACCTATGAACTGACTGGAAATATTGACATAGCTGACTGACGGAGACGACACTAAAATTCTCCGCGAAATTTAACCGTAGCCCGCCTCAGCTGACTGTCGAAATTGGCGCGCATTTTAAACCACTTTGACAGTGTATGCAACCAGATGATTGAAACACATCAAGATGTCTTCACCGTACATATTTTATTGCACTTATGAATGTATATGAAGGCGGGCGCGGTTAAGTTGAATTATGAAGAAGATTGGAACAGTAATACAGTTTAATACATTTATTTTAAATAGTTACAAATAATGATTTATTTACATGTAAAATAGTAGGTAACTAATGAAATATGCATTAGTATAAATCGACAAAATGCTCTCTTACGCAGCGCAAAACAGGTATTTTACTGATCTGGGTTTTGTGGGACTCCACTCATTTTTTTTTGTTGTTCGCCCGGTGGCTGGAGGAAAAAATCTTCACGAAGACACCCAGTCAAACCGAAAGCCTGGGTAGTGTTGGATTCCTACCAACTAAAAAACATCCATTTTCGAACTAGGAGTTTTCGGGAGTCCTCCCCTTAAAACTTGTAGTCATCTCTAAGAATGTGTCAGCTCCGGCAACCGTATGCCATAACATCGCATTCGCT